TAAGTCTCTCTAAGTACATGCTTAAGTCCCTCCTGAGTCAGGAAAGAGGTTAAGCAGATGCATATCCTTAAGTTCTAAATGACTTCTGTGGGACTTTCCCTTGTCTTAAATTTTGAATGTACTTGAAGCATACTAATGGCTAAGCACAGACTATGAATACAGGTGGCTCAGTTTGGCCCTCAGCTGGCACAAAAACAAAATTTAACATTACTTTTAAAGTGTTTTGACTAAAATCCAGCAAAGTACTTACGCCTACACACAGTGCTGATTTAACTGTCTCAGTTTATAGTTACACTGGTGCAATTTCCTAGCATGGATACAGTTCTGCTAGTATTTGTCTTGGCATAACTTAGCAAGACACTTTTGCAGAACTGAATGCCACTGAAAGTCAAGAAGGCTGGGGCAAACCTGCAAGAGAGAAAGCCAAACCTGAGTAAACTGAAAATGCAAAACTGAAAGGGCATAAGAAGCAAAAAATTTGACTATTGAAGTGTTCATCCTCAAAACCTTCAAGAGATCATTGGTGGCATTTCTCAGAACACTTTTGCCAGTATGGCTATTCATATGTGAATTCATTTCACAAGTAGTAGCTCCTTCCAGAAGGTGTGGATGAAATGCCTAGATTATACCTCATATAATGTAAGACCCATTGAGCTGAATATGGTCTAATTGGTGGGTTGAAGAATGGAAACCTGTTTTAGGTTCTGTATGGCACGTAGTGAAATCCCTATTACAGTCTTCTGATTCTGCTGAGAATACATTATTTTTTTATTGTTATTTTCCTTTTTGTTAAAACTTAATGCAGCCAAATGACTAAAGATAAAAGAAAGCACTTTTTCTTTTTTCCTTTCCAAAGGGATCTTCAAGGAAGAGTTTGACCATGAAAAAGGGTGATAAAAATGAATGAAGAATAATGACCTTTTTATGTATTATTTACAACGCACAATAGTGGTCAAAGTGACACCATTATTCATCTTTCCAATACTTGTGAATCAGTTATGGATATCACATACCAATGGGAAATATACCTAATAACCTAGTCCTACTTTGGGAAAGGACTGTTTCTAAGACCCTCCTGTAAAACTAATAAAATTTTTATTTATGCCCCACTTGGTGCTTCAGATGGTCCATTTCCCTAGATCCATTCATTTTCTTTTTTGGTTGTTTCTGTTATAGGCTGATTTGCTTTGGCTTTGCACTAAATAGGATGTAAAACTAAGTGCTCCTGATACAATTTCTATGGGTTTATTTGTTGCTTTTTGTCCACCTTGCTTTGTATAGACAGCAGATGTATTAAGCAAAGATGCACAGCATACTAAATTCTTATCTCATTCCAAGAACATAGTGCTTCCAAATTAAATTGTTCAAGATGCAAGAAATGGCACTATTAAAGTCACCAGTACAAACCTTAACCTGTCCCCTTCCTCGCAAACATTCCAACTGTTGCCATTTTTCATTAAATGCATCACTATCTATCAGCATATGGATGCACTAAATGACCAAACATTAACCTAAATGCTTGTTCTCTAACTCTATTTGAAACTACAAAAAAGAAAAATCTATTTTGTATTTTCAGTGGTTTGTATTACACCTTAAGTAATTGCCATAATTTTATCTACAATATAATACTGCCAAAATTAAGAATAGAAGTTTAGCCTCTAGCAATCCACTATCAGTTTTCATGGATACCATAAAGAATTTAACAGCTTCTCTTTTTGTCACATGAACCATACAGGCAGTGACTCTAAGATTAAGGGGATTTCTCCCCTACCAAGAAATTAAGCCCCATGTTGAACTATTCCTGTTTCTTTTCAGTTGCATTGGGATGTTGCTAATTAAATCCAGTAACATCACAGCAAAACCTTACTTGGGCTCGGGCTGAGGCTCAGAAACTTTGCAATCTGAACATCAAAACTAAAATAATTACTATTCAAACAAGAAGGGAAAACATAGAATGATATACCCCAGTGCCCCACAAAACCTCTACACATAGTACTGTTTCACTTTGGATGCACAAATAGTTGATGCACTGTACAAAGGCAAACATGGTTTGCCTTCCAAACTGGGCTTCAAACCTCATTACATTTAATAGTTCCGTACCAAAATGCCAAGTACTTCAACAAAAATTCTGGCCAGATTTACATACTTAAAAAAAAATGAAACAGAAAAACATGGAAAAGTGTAATATTAGAAAGTTCTAAATTCAAACTACACTTCAGCAGCATAAAGGGGGATTAATCAAGAACTGTGTTGGTGAACTTCGAGAAGAAAGGAACTCATTCCAACAGTGCCTGTCATGCTGCAAGGCATAGTTGTAGTGCCTTGTCTTCATCAGCTGGAAAATAATTTGCTGTGCTGTTTGCAGATAGTGCTGGCAACCATTCTGCATATCCTGCATTCCCACTCCGTGTGGAGTTATGTATAGCAAAGATTACATGTGATCCCCCAGGCAGTCCAGATATACTTGTGGACAGCTAATTCTATTCTGTTTAAACACAAGATACAGTGGTAGTGACCACACTGATTTAAGGCAGATGTATAGAAGTGTACATCAGTCCTAAATATCTCTTTTATTTTGTACCAGAAGAGGTGGTTACAAGAAAGAAAGAAAGAGAGAAAAAGAGAGACTTCTGAAATACTTAGTGAAGCTTACCTTGATGCACACTAAGGAGAAATCCAGGGATTTTGTCTGCACAGAGAAAATTGTCTAAATTGGCTGGAAAAACTCATTGACCCAGTCAGATTGTGTGAAGCTTGTGATCAAATACAGCCCCAGGCTCTCCTGCCTTATGCACTTGTGCATCTTGCTCAGAACACAAAGCTCAATGAAAAAAACCACTATTTTACTGTGATAAACACTACAATAGAATGGTGTTTGCACAGGCATGTGTGAGTTGCTCTTCTTTATGTGGTTTGGAAACATTACATTCAAGGGTTTTTAGCTGTAAATTTACAGATATCACATGCAAAGAATTTTAAGGTTTCATTGTTCAATTATTTTAAGTAGAACAATGAGAACATCAATGCAACAACAATACAAATTAATCAAACAACAAAAAGTAAAGCAATTAAAGCTAAGCAATGAGACTGATGAATTCACAGGTCCTTCTGCAATGCATAATCAAGAGCCTGAGTAACTGTAGAAAGATTGTTAAATGTCCTTTATTGCATATCTGTGAAATCTACTTCGTTGAGAAAACAAGTACATTGTTTCTGTGGCTCACTTTGGATAGCTACAAAAAATGAGGAAGGAAAGATGGTTCTGTAATTTAGAATATGGAATGGAAGATGGAAGTCTCTAGAATCTTTGACTTCCTATGTTGCTTCAGGCAGTGACTTAATTTCCCATCTGCAAAAAAGTTTGACAATCCTTCTGTGTGCCTATCTGGACTAGGAGGACATGCATATTAATAGCATAGAAATGAATAATAGTATCATTCCAAGTGTACAACTCACCATACCACCACTGTTCCAGATAATCAAAGCTAGAACAGACCTCAGCCTCTGTCTCTACTATTGTAAATATCTGTGTTTGCAAAAATCCTGCATATGCTTCCTTGCCATTATTAGGCAGAAACTTGTATTTCTAGTCACTAGAAATTCTCAGATAGTCTCATCTGTGGAAGCCCAACTAAAGCTGCACTCAGTTCTGCAAAGTGCTGAGTATTGTCAGTCCTGATGGTCAATGAGAGGCTCAGAATTTCTGCAGTGCTTCTGAATATGAGACAAAGGTTAAATTTAACCTTGTGAAGTTAGTCCTCCTCCAGACAGTGTTTCAGGTCCTCTAGTTCAGGCTCCATTCTGAACTGCTTCCACAACCCTCTTCTTTCCTCCTTCTCTGTGTTGACTATAGCAAAGTCAGTATCACTAAGCATAAATTAGTCCTTCTGGATACTCCAAGCTCAATTCCAAAAGTTGACATCAAAATTCATCCTAGCACAACTTCCAAGATGGAGAGGAAACCAACATAACTGATCTAATGAAATTGTATTCCTTAAGTTGCTTTCTTTTAAATCTAGATTCTAGTTAAGGTTTGGCAGCATATAAATTCTAAATTTGCCAAAATAATTACAGTAAATACATTATTAATCAGAGCATTACTCCCATGACTTAAGGAGCCCATAGCAATTCTCAGATCAGTAGTCTGTAACTACAGTATTTGCAACTCTCTGGCAAGATCTAGGTAAAGTACCACATAAGCAAGTAGTTTAAATAAGTCAGGTTCAACTGTTTACCCTAAGGTAGCATTGCAGTTAGGAATGATCTTCACTGTAAGCCTAAGTCAATCCTCCTTTGGAGCAAACATGCCAAGTGATACAGAGCAGATGCACAGCAGTGGAACATTGTGGTAACATAAAACTGACACAATATGGTGAAGATTTTATATAGCTTCGTTTTGTAAATCCTTTCAGAGTTCTATGTTTTCTTATCTTAAGGTGAAAAAGACAAATCTATAGAGACTGATATATATAGTAGTTGAATCCTATTGAGCAATTTTTGATAGAATTCTTTGTAATAGACCTAGACAATGACAACAATGACATGAGATTAGCTCTAACACTGAGCATATAAGGAACACTGTGTAATAATCTTATCCTATGAATCCAAATAACATTAAAAAATGAGAAAAAGCCACCTTATCTGCCTTGAAAATTCTGTAATAAATTATTCATCTGGCATAACAACAGAATGGAGTAAAAGAGTCCAGAACATCAGCTTGAATCAAAACACTGATGAGGCAACCTATTTAAAATAAGCTAATTCTTCATGTCTCTGAAAATATTTAGTGGTCATCTCCCCTCAGGCTTTGTTTCCAGGCAATGACTGCAATTGTTTTCAGATAGAGATGCAGCTCTCTCTGTTCTCACCATGACCTGATGCTTAAACCTTGGTTTTAAAAATATTTTGCTCAATAAAACACAGTGACCAAAGCTGCTTACTCTATCTAAAGCATTCACTCTATCAAGGTTTTATAAAGAAAAGTTACATAAGATCCTTACCTTAATGCATGTGGATTTGACTGGAACTTTCTCTCAGACCCTCGAAGGTGTCATTGTGTGGATAGAAGATCAGTATTAAATTTATCCTCTTGTTACCCTGAAACAGCCAGCAAGCCTGTGAAACGGGGAGCATGCCACATAATTAGAAAATTATCCACTCCCAACTTCTTATTATCCTATGCCTTTCCTAAGAGCAACAAAACGTGTGCCATACTGAAGCACTTCACACCGGTAACACAAGAAGCTCTCAAGAGTTTTCAGCAGTCTTCAACTTAAATAAAAACACTAGATAGTTTATAATATGATAGCTAAAGCTAAGGCCTTTAAGGAACATATAACCTATGTACTTAGTATACAGCACTAAAAGTGAAAATCATAGTAGAACAGTTGTTTCTTAGGCTGAAGACTTTTCTCTTTAGGCTGAAGCCCAGCTAGATTCGAATCCTGTAAACTAGGGCTTCAATCTTCATGGAAAGTTATATTTCTGTAACAAGCATATTAACATAAGAAGACTTTTACCTCCAGGCTCTCATTGTCAGATTACTCTTTACATTAGATTGTCACAGAAAAGACTTTTTTTACAAAGTCAAAGATCTGAAAGATATTATCTGCAGAAATGATAGTTAGTGACTGACAGGAATCCAGGAAAAAGTCCACAGGATATCACTTAGGAAAAAAAGGCAGCAATATTTTGTAAAAAAATCTTCAGTGTAAAAAGAGGGAAAAGAGGATTCTCCACGTGAAAACTAAACAGTTCAAAGGATCTTTTTCTGCTTGAAATACTCAAGTCATTTAATATTAAGTATGGCTTCTGTGCCTCTTCGAAGAATTTCAGTCTTATACAGGCGCCAGTTCACCACACTGAGAAAGTCACTCTGATGACTTTGTCTTTCAGCCAAGTCACCAAGGCACAAACACTCCTGAGTGCTTCTCCTGAGGGGGCAGTGCAGCACCCTGAGAACCCCTGGAGATAGGACTGAAAGGTGAATCCTTTTCCAGCCCTGGCCATAGTCCTGTCATAGCTCGTGAGGCAGTGCTGGGACTGATGCCAGGTTTTCTGAAAATGGTATCAGAAAATGAAGGTATTGTTTCCATCTCAAAAACGATTCAAGAATTAGACAATGAAACTCATACTGGTGTCAATAATATTTTGGCTAAAGGTCAGGAAAATGTCTGATGAAAACATTGTAAAAGGAACTGAAAATATATGTCTCCAGGTGAGAAGGAAAAATCCTATTCCTAGTCAAGGACTACTTGTAGAAAACACATCACCGAGTTGTGCCTCAGCTAATGCTCTGTGAACTGTGACAGTCTCATAGTAGATTCACCCACCTCTTCTCTAGTTGCATCACTAGGGAGGTATCTACAGAAGATTGAATATATTGTATCAGAAACTCCCAGCAAATTATTCAGTACACTTCCAACAGGCCTGTAGTAACACAGAATCAAAATATGAATGACTCAATAATAATTATTTGCTGTTAGATTCACCTTACCATCGTCTCTTTATTTACAATTACATAAGCTTTACCTCAATCAAGTAAATTAAAAACAGTTACCTGCTTTCTATTAGCAGTGTTAACACATCTCAGAAAGTACCCAAACCACATGAATTTTCTAATGTCATGGGAGTTAAGGCAGTCTCTAATACAGTGCTTTCCTTTACACACCAGGCTATAATGGCTCAGCTGTAGAGCTTGAATTTAGAGTGAGGAATTTTGCTTTCCAACCCTTTTCATCGTCACTGCCGATGCCAAGCTGCTCAGCTTGGCAGGCCACATCCTACATCTGTGGGAACTGCATGTGATGTTCATATTCCGTGCTTCCACTCTGGAAGCCACCAGGTTACATGGCATAAGATATTTTCTTGATGCTTGGGTGCTGATAATAAAGTTCTGTTCTTGCATTTCTCTCCTGAGATGTTGGTTGATGTATTTACTTACAAAGTGCCTGTGGCTCTGGTAAGCTTTCTACTGGAAGTCAAATTTTGCAAATCCCAAAATTTTTTGAACCTTTATCTCTTTTCATGTTTGCTAACCAAATAGGGAGGTCTATCATGGAGCACACGTCCCATTTTACAATGAGAAAATTAATTTCACTCTGGTCTTAGAAATGCATAACTACTACGGGGGAGAATAACATCAAAAGTCACTGCGAACTGTATGATCCCGAAAGGGAGATTAGGGGGAAAAAAAAAGACTCAAAGTAGAAAAAAGAAAGAAAAGAAAAAATCCTTCCATCTATCATGAACACATTCAAGGGGAACAATAATGCACATTCTTAACCAAACTTCAATGCAGATTTACTTTACTGTGTATTCCATACACTCATTCACACTGTGTTTCTTAATAATAAACAAGTGAAAAGTAAAAAATGCAACTGCCAAAAGAAGTTTATTTATGTTCAAACTGTACTGGAGAAATTAGTCAAGGGCAATTCATGCATGTGAAAATATGATTTCTAACACTGCCAAGGTCGATAAGACCTTAGGGAGTAAATGCTAACCACATAAATCAAAGATGCCTAGAGGCAGTTTTGAAGATGAGCGGCAAGGCTTTAATAGTTTTAAAAAGCCTGTTAATAATCCAAATGAATAAGCAATGACACAAGAAGAGCAAATATCTTGTTTATGAAAGGAACAAACCACTGCTCGATGTATTTCTGTGGACTGGGTTGCCCAAACTCAGAAATCATGTGATTCTGTGCTACATTTCCAAAGTAATTATCTGATTATTTCTCAGACTGAAAAATGAATAAAGGTGCATGAGTCCAAATGAATCCGAGCTGCCAAGTTAGTTTGCTTGCAAAAATATTTTAAGAAAAAGACAACTGCAGTGGCCAAAGTAATTTTATAAGAATATTTCCTCTTTTGCCAAGATGTCTAAACAGAAATGCATTTTATCTGAAAATGCATACTCGCTAGTTTGTTAGTTGGTTTTTTAACCATTTTCCCCTGGCAGATGAACAAAAAGCAAAAAACTTTCTTTTCCCTCTAAAATTGAAAACTGACAATTTTTCATTTTAAGCCCAGACATTGAACTAAAGAGTACTTCTGGGACTTCTGACTAGCTGGGTCCAGACACTCCTATGGTTGCCACTGTAATATCTAAACGTCTCTTAAGTTTCAGGTTGCCTTTCCAAAACATTGGGTAAGTTAGAGCATACTCATTTCCCACACAGCTCAGATATCTGGGATACACATCTAGTGTGATATCTGAAGACCTCTGAAATCAAAGTGATTTTTAAAACAATCTTTTAAAGGAACTCAGTTTTAGCTGTTAAAAATACCTTGAATTACGAACAGGATGAGTTTGTTTCTGAGTCAGACCCTTCAAAACCTTAAACAAAGATGAATTCATAACAGAGCTGGCAATTAGAACTCACCTTGTATTTATTCATTTCTATTAATAATTAATAATAGGTTTTTGAATGTTCCTGAATTGTGCCATGATCTCACTTACCAGAAAATATAATCCACGATAGCATCCTGGTTTTACTGCTAAAGATATTTAAACCATTTTTTTATGTTGCTTCTGTGAAGGTAAACTGTTAAGTTGCCTCAATCCCTTTCAGGACAAACTCTTCACTGTCTCAAGCTGCTGTTAACAAATTCATGACTATTACAACCTATTCCTTTTCTCTTCTTGGACATTGCTTTTCAATAGCCCTGCCATCTTGATATCAGAAAAAAAAGGTTGACTAGCTATGCAGATTCCTCTAATTAAGGGATAGGGTAATTAATCTGGCATATTCAAAACCTGAGCACGAGCAGGCAGTGAAGTCAGAATAGTGAGAAAATGAGAATGCTGTGGAGAGCAAACAAAAATAGATAGTTATGGACCAGTTGCATACAGAGAGACATAACCTGAAGACATGCAGCCAATTAAAATTTGTTGGCAAAGGGCATAGGAGGAAAAGAAGGAAGGCAAAGAGAGAAGACATCAGCCAAACATGAAAAACTGCTGCGTTCTACTTCATGTTGGCAGAACTTGGTTAGATGGTTGTGGAGTGTGCATACCTGAGAAGCAGCAGGACAAATCTCACTGTTAATCTTGATATCACAGACACTTGAGTTTCTGCATGAATCCTTCTTGCCTTTTTGGCCTTCCAATATTTCTGTGTTTTCATTCATTTCCTATATTCCTTGGTCTCAGGGCCATTCTGAAGTCTGAATTTGAAGAATTTGATTCAAATTTCCAGAGGATGAAAGAATATTTGATCTCACATAAGCATAGTTTGATCAGCATGGGTGATAGTGATCAAAAGCTAATTGCCATAGTTCCCTACTTTTTTTTTCCTCCATAGATGTGCACTGATTCCTCTTCCTATAAGACAATGCATTGAACTTAATAAAGAGGAGGTTTTCACAGTCCTCTCTCTGTGGAGAGGGTAAGAGTAATGGCTAAACTGCATGGAAAATATAGGTAGAAAACATAGTAAGAACTCATTACACTTACTACAGTCACTAATTATCCTGGCAAATACCTCACTGAAGAACATATGGAAAGCACAAGGTCACAAGAAATCTTGGGGGTCTTGAGACCACACCTGTACACAGTTGTTCCCACACATAAAATTTCTACCTCCTTCCTTTCCTCGCTGCAGAGAAGGAAAAGAGGCTAAAACATGGGTCCTCCTCCTTGAGATGAGTTGGTGAAGATCAAACATTATTTGCATGAGGTTTCCAGTGAAATTTTGCCAGAGGACAAAGGGCTGTATGGGCCAAGAAAAACCAGAAGCTCTACAAGTGTAGGAGGACTGTGTTTGTTGGCTGAGTTTGGGAATAAGTTGAAGTCAGACTAAAGAGCCAACAGCAGCTGTTTCTCAATTTTTTATTATTTTTTTTTAATCCCAGCACAGCATGCAAATAATTTGCTATGGACTTGAACTGGAGAAGCCAAGTATATAGTACTGTGGAACTGAAATCCAAAAAATATATTTCAGGTTAGGAGACCTGTAGCTGGTAAGCCAAAACCACCGTTTGCATTCAATTTTCTGGCTTGATCACAAGCACTCTTTCTTCCTGATACATTTAACTAAAATGTGCAGGTATTGCTTCACATGCACTTCCTTGGCTTTTTTCAATGCATACAAATATCTGCACAATGTTTTAGAACTACCACCAGACTTTACCACCAGCAAAATCTTTGTTTGTTTGTTTGTTAGAGTGCAACGACAATTTCTGCCTGTGGATGTATCTGGAGTTTGCTGAAACATTTTGACTAGTATTCCCAACATATTCTCACAAAACTGATCAGCTGCTCTGACACAAAAATGCCACTGCTCCCTGCCTGCACACATCATTTTGACAGGTAGAAAGAGTGAAGTTGTACAGACTACAGATGATGTAAAAATAACCTATAAAATATTACCTGTTAAGAGGAACAGTATCATACTTACTTGAGCCACTCTGTAGCTGTTGGAGTTGACCATCATGCTTTCCCTTAAAACCTTCCTCAATTAATCTCTCATATCTACAGTTTTGATAGGCTTTTCCACAGAGTATGCAAGGAACACATTGCTCTCCACATATCCATTAGAAGTTCATATGGGGCACCTTCCTTGGAGACATTTTTAATCCAGCATGAATTTCTTAGCATGATCACACTATACCACCTTCCAAATGGTTGGGAAAATCCACATTATCTTGGATGAGTATTAAATGAAGTGGTCCTAAATGCAGATCTGATTTTCCAAAGAGACAGGCAGAAAGACAGGTATTTTCAAAGAATATTTATTGTTATGGTAGCTAAGGTGAAGAGTTTCAGAGTTACTTTAGGCCAAATTCAGGACTAACACAAGAAGAAAGAACTAGAAAAAGTGCAACAGTCTGTACCTTGTTTTCTTATTTTTTTAAAGACCAAAGTATCGTAAAATATTTTATATAAATAGGTAAGAGTAATGAAAGCAAACGGACATGACCAATTAAAATGCACATAATTTTAAGAGAGAAAATGCAGATCAATTAAGATGATGTTTCAACCCTATGGTAATTTATATTAGTTGAGGATCTGTCCCTAAATATTTAAACAGCAGTCTTGACACTTCCTTTCCCCTCCCAATTTAAGACTTTAAAGGCACTTTGCAGTTCAACAGTCCAGAGTAAGAAAAACTCTACTGCATGCTGCTTCTGGGTGATAACACAGTCATCATCTGCACCAAGAACAACAACATAATAGTGTGGGCTTTCTAAAAGATAGAGTGAAGAATAACTACCTAACTATAATCACAAAGGTAATTTTACCTAAGTAAAATACAATTACACTAGCCAGAATTTCTTTTGGACATGATTAGTAACAAACGTTCCTTGTCCTGTGAAAATGTGCCAGGAAATTTTAATTGACTGCAAGCATCCAAGGCTGCCATTAAACACATCATCTGAAAGATGAATTTATTTGGCCCACACTTAACTACCACGTAACGTGCTTTATGGTTTACAAGATGGAATGATTTTGTTTTACATGACAGTTATTGGGTCTAATTCTTCTCACAGTTATGCCAGTGAAAAATTTGGAACAAGTCCATTAAAGTCAATGGCTCTGTAAAATCAGAGTAAAATTAGACTCTGTCTAATGGCCCACCATGCAATGTAATAATAACTGGTACTACAAACTAGGCCAGTTTCTGCTTTTCCAATTGGTAGCAAGTGGAACCAAGCACTAGATATCACATTATTCTAAGATAAAAGATACCTAAGACTTGGCCCTTCCCCAGAGACCCAGGCTCACATAGCTCGTCTGACATGACACACCATGTGATGAGAGCACTGCAGGGATGTTTATTCCCTGGCACTTTGGGAGGACAACATAATGAAAATGGAGAAGAAGAGTGAGGAATTCAGAAAGGGATTTTTGATTATAATAACATTTACTTGCAAATCACTTCAGAATTACAGATCCTCTTTTTTAATATCAAAAGTTTGAGCCACTTTCTCTTATATGGTTTGAGCTTATTGTTTCTTGTGAGCTCAAGGTTTTCCACAGCTTGAGATGGGGCAGGACTTTGTTTTCTGTTTCCTGACAAGGTTATTATGCTATACAAAATAGTTTTTCTCCCTGTGTGGACTTCTCCTTTTTCACTGTTTCTTTGCCTTCCTGGGGACAGCAGTACAGAAATAGGTTTAATGAATGTGTCTGCTTCTGGGGTGCTTTCAAAAGGCATGTCCTAACTTTCAGTACTTACTTCCATGCAAAGGAACATCCTTTTCGGGTTTCCTGGAATGAAGAATCACATTTTACACCTAAAAATAAAAAATTAGGGTGATTAATGTGACACAGTATAAAATGACAAACTGCCCACAACCAGTTTCCATGATCTCCAAATACCAAATAGTTAACATGCAATAACTCATACTCTGGTATTCTACCTGATAGAAGCTTTCTTTTTATATTAATCATTAACATGATGTAATTTATTTATTGTAATATTCAAATCAGAAGCCCAAATATATAACAGCACTATAAAAATACTAGTAAGTGAAGTTTACTTTCAGCATCTGGTGAAGATATGCTTTAACAGTGTAAGTTAACAGGTGGGGGATTTTTGCTGTTGTTTTCTTTTACATTGTTGTTCTAAAAATAGTAATTTTAATATATAATCAATTTGGAAGCTTTTGAAAAAAATTAAACATACAGTTTATTCACAATCTGTACTCTACAAATTGAGCCCAGCATTAGGTCAATGCACAAGGCACTATACTTAGCACAGCTCTGGACCCGAGACAGTGGGAGAAGAAAGAAATTAGAAAGGAAATAAGATGCTGTATCAAGATAGGCACACTGGGATTTGTTCCCCTGCTTAAGAAATTAACTAGATTATTATTACTTTCTTGGGAAAGTCACACTGAACAAACACAAGTCAGTGTTTCTCGTCCTTTTTCTTCTGTTGTTGGTGTTGCTCATTGCTTGAGTTTTCAGATTGCAAACTGTTGTTAACCAACAGCTTTACAAGGACCACATGTATATGAAAAACAGTGCTCCCTTCCCAAGTCTACTGACAACCAGATGATTTGAAAAAGCGTGTTTCTATCTATTACAGCACATGTACAGGTTGATAGCATTCAAATGACCCCATTTATGTTAAGACTGGTAAAGTGATATTCTATTATTTCATTGAAAATAAAATGTATTGAGACATTTCATGTTGTTTTTCATCTTCCTTCTGTTTCAATATTACTTTAACTGTGATTTGTGCCATCTAACAACTAAAGGATATCCAAAATAATTGTTGTACATTACATCCATTGCATTAAAGATGATCTGTGTTTATAAAACAAGATTTTTTTATGAATAAAATACATTGAGAAAATATAACTGTCTCAACAGCAATTCTGTCAGTTAAAAACACAGTGATATAGCTTGAATTTCTACACTTCAGTGCATCTCTTGAGGGAGTGAAATGCTTATTAGATGGTAGCATGTGTTATTCTCCAAATCTTCTTTTATATGCCTATTTCAAGTGTTTGATTATTGCCTGGCTAATAATAGGTGCTTCATCAAAGAACAGAAAGAAAAGACCAGAGAAGATAGTGTAAAATGTAGCATGTAATTGTTCACTGACTGCCATTGAAAAGGTTCAGCTACTACTGTATGACAATCTTGCTCTGATGTCTGCAGCCACTGCTTCATGTAACAGCAATTAAAGCTGTGGGAATTGGGAAAAACTCACCCACAGAGACCAATCCCGCCCCATTAATTTTTAAGTGCACAGAGTACTCCAGAGGGCAGAAAAGCCCACCTGGGGCCAGGGAAAACACATCACACCAGTCACTGATTTATTGGCATCAGGAGATGGGTGGTGAAAAGGCTGTGAACTTCCCAGTTCCATAGTCTGACTTGCACAGGTCATTCCCTGTCTTTCCTTCTGCTTCTTCACCTTGGTCACCCCAGTAACCTCATGGAGACATATTCTGGTTGCATCCTACACTGAACCTGCCCAGAACTGCATCTGAATCAAACCTGGACGGAGGCAAAGAGACTGGTAGCTAAAACCCCCTTCTGAGGCTCTGCTATGAAGAAGGATTTTGAGAGCATGGCAGTTTTGCAGAATAGAGCAATGAAGGCCTTCTGAGCCAACCACAAATAGAGGAGTGTGTTGCAGAAACAAATGGACTGAAAAAAAACCCCAAAAGCTGCCCGGAAAACAGTAAGACATGAAGGAACTGAAGCAACAAGTTACTCTTGGAGTCTGA